GTCGACTGAAAGAGCTCCCCCACATTGACGGTTTTCGAAAGTGGTGAAGCCCTAATGAGGTGGTGAACTTTAGTTTTTTAGGCCTGTTTATACGCCTCATTCTAGTTTAGTGTTCGTGACTGTCGCTCCCTGACAAGTCGCGATGGAGAGTACACGAACTACTCTTCTCCTCGTCTGAATACCGGACTATTTACATCTCTTCGATGACAAAGTAATTTTTCTTTGGAGGGTGAAAAGGGAATTATTCATCTCGTTCCAGACCGAATAGTATTTCGAATAATAAGGATGTACAGATGAGATATGGGTGAAAGGAGTTGTTAAAAGTAACACTCAATATTAGTGGTAGAAGTCCAAATAGTTAATCCCCCTTTACTGTCGTCGTTGTCACAAGTTATATAACATGAAAGCCATAGATTTACTATGGTTACAAAAATGTAACGAGTACTCCCTTCTGGATACCCTGTCTTTGTGGAATAAACGTCTAAGAAACTTAACATTAAATTAAACATTAAACTAACACCTAAAATTAGTCAAAAGTGAAATATCATAGAAATATGTTACAATGATGAAACGAATACTCCTGTCTGTCGGAATAAATGTCTAAGAACTTTAAGTTAAACATTAAAGTAAACATTTAATCAATGTAAGTACACCTAAATAGGTTCAAACGTGTAAACATACGGTATGTGAATATCCACGTAACAACCAACAACTTTCCGGTACCGACAATGCAAAATCCAAATGTTATTAAAACAACTATCCGGATACCGATCTACAAATACGTCAAAATTTCGTGGGAACCGAAACAAGACTTACGTGAAACAACATCAATAGGATGTCTCTTTTCTTTTACGTGAACTGAACCTTAAACAAATCGCAATCCGCGCCTCTTTCTCTGATATTTTTAAATACCTCCAAGCGGCAGACATGTTGGCTGTGAGCCAGCCGCGAGCATGGTCGCGCGCCGTGCTTGTCGCCGCGTTTTGATTACGTTATCACAACAACACGTTAGTTTACCAACGTAACCCTGTCCCCTGACATTCGGCCGAAAGGGCCTTTTTAACCATTTTCGGCCGATAATTTTCGGCGGCCGAATATTCGGTGCATCCCTACTATATATGTGTTTAAACCTGGATCCTTTTTTTTTCGACATGACAGCCGATATAGCTGACATCTAGAAAATGTACTTTGACAAGCAAAAAACGTTTTTTTGTAAAAATGTTTACTTACCAGACCACAATGAGTATCTCTCTTTCACAGGCAATGAGAAATGGGTGGAGCTTGCATAATTTCTGGTCACTTGATTACAACTATAAGGCATTGCCTGGTTACAAGGGGTGGTTCAACTTACCCACTGGATCAACTTACCCCCTTCTCCCCTAACGTATGTTCAGCAGCAATACAATATTTGGGTGTGATTGAAGTTCCCTATTGCATGTGTTCAGTGCAGAAATCTTTTCATTTAGAACATCTTATTCCTTTGGACAGGTTGGAGCAGGCTGCTAGCTGTAGGCTATAGCGGAGATTTCTTGTGTGTGTCCCTCGACCATGTGATGTATATCACCAGCTTGTAGCCTAAAGCAGGGCTAGCTGTTTCAGTGCATTCCAACATTCTGGATCTTTATGTTACCAAGCTTTAACCCATGGACAAGTTTAAAGTGAAAGGGTCATTGACTCAAAGTGACAGAATAGTTCAGTTGTAAACCTTCAATAATAGAGAAATGATTAATTATAAAATATTGTGGTCCTGGACCTACTGTAACATTACATAAAATACGATGTTTGTATTGAATTTATAACCAGTAGTGCCGGCATGTACATTAGCATGTAGTGTGGTCAATAACAGTTTCAGAATCAAGGATTACTTTACATTTAAGTAACCTTTTAAAAAAACTGGACATTTTATTAGACATTAATTTCTCATGTCTGACAGTAGTTAGATGGGACAGTTTATGTACATTTTGTCTCAGTGTGTTAAGTGCAGAGTCAGACACAAGATTCATTAGCTTAAATTAGGGGCTGTAGGTTTAGGGATGCGACCAGCTTCCACAAAAAGAGGAGAATTACACATTCCAGTAACTCCAAAGTGGTCTAATTTACATGTTCTGTACTTCAATGTTGGCCAGTGCTTGGCCTACATTTTGTTTAGGGTGGGGAGTGTGTAAACTCTACAGCGTTATTGAAAAGAGCACAGCTAGCTATTCTAGCTAGCTATTTTTAGCTGAGCCCAGCTGTTAGTCAGCTTAATTGACAGCTGCAAAATAGTCAAAAAGAGTTCAAAGAGAGAGAGAGGGTTTGTTCACTTTTTCTTCATGGTATGACATTGTTTAAGTCACAGTAGAAAAAGCTCAGATGTAATTGATATAATTAACTACAACTACACCCAGGCTCAGGGCACAGAGGAACGGCTTGTTGAGACACTTTTAACGGAAATAAACAATTGTAAAAAAAAGAAATACCCTTCTGCTTTTGACAAGTAAAGATAAGGCTGAATGGTATTAGAAAATACTGAAAGACATTACTGACATATTTTTCAGATTATTAATGTTGACTAGATGATGATAAACTAGCTGTTTTTGGTCTAATTGTTATTGTATACACAACACGATGGATATCGCATTTTTGTTGGTTTCAATGTGTGGTTTGTGACTACCTGCTTTGGTTGTTGGATTAATTGATCAGATCATGTGAGTCAATTATGTTCAATCAGACCGTCTCATTAGAAATCTAAATCGTGTGAGTTTTCCTTTACAAGCCTGGGGTTTATATTGAATGTTTCAACTCAAATTATTAGAAACATCACAATGATACATTTTTACAAATGTGTTAGCCCTAAAAGTGCACACAAGTATGACATTCATACATTGTGTCCTTGACAAGTTGTAAGTGTGACATGTTTTTGGCAGAATTCCATTGGATTGGAGTAAAACTGGTCTCAGTAATAATAGTCAAACATGGCTGTGAAGCCTTTTAGACATGCCTTCAAAATGAACAATGAGGTTTGTTTGTAGTATGGCCTTTAGCTTTGTTGTCATCTTTCTTACTCTTTCCTTTGTGGTTCATTCCTCTGGTGATCCTCTTGGTTTGCAGTAAACAGAAAATAAAGAGCGGAGAAGTGTGAAATTGAGATTAATATGAAAGAAAAAACAATGGGCAGAAGGAAAAATACAAATCTGTCTGTTTTGTCGCCTAACGATTACACCAAAAGATTGAGCTTTGACGAGAGAAATACTTAAGTTTGCAACTTGTATGGGCGAAAAGTCAGGGCATGCATGTGGATTGGGAAGTAATACTTTAAGTGCCTGCTCTTCACCCTGGTGTCTCATTCAGGTTTGACAAGTCTGCTGAACTGAGTCAGTGTGTGAGGCGAAGGCAAGTTTGCAACTGCAGAATCCTGCAGCGGAAGACTAGTCGTAACAGCTTCATTGACATAAAGTGCTGACAAAGTCTGAGAGAGCACACTCGACTGCTGATGTATAACTTGCCATGCTTATGTTGGTCCTATTTTATTAGCTGTGAACCAAAAAGTAAACGCTTTAAAAGAATATTCAACGTTTTCCAGATGATACACCAAAGCTGTGTTTACAAAGAAGAATAGAAA